GCAACAAGTCATTGCATGAGACAGTTACCGGTATTGAAAAAAATGGGACAACCCAGATCCCCGAAACTGTGACTGCCGACCCAGAGAAATTGCCAAAAGATTACGGCAGCAGAGGGAGAGTGTCATGGGCATTGCACACGACATTAATTTTGGTGAGAAAGAATATTTCTTTACTACGTGTGGCTTTGACTGTAGCCTGAAGAAAGGGGAAATAAATGAAAACGTGGCTGCTTGGAATGGCCTTCACGAAAGGCGACATAATTTCTATCTTGAAGATGATAGAATCGAGAGATGGGCTTTCTCTGTATGATGACATTGTCCAGGTTAACTCTGCACGGCATTTCCATGTTTCCATGGAAATAATCGAGCATCTCAGACAACTATTGCCTGGTTTCTTTGCTCCTAGAAGACAAACTGTCACTGTGAAAGCTGAGATGAATGCAAGAGTTAGCTATTCATCATTCTAAGCACAGAGGCAGTGTTGCATCTTGTTTCAAACTTACATGTATGTACTGATTGGAGGGTTGAGTATTGACAGGACACGCTAGAACAATTTCTTGTCGCAAGTAAAAATATGCTAAGCTGGTAAAACAACGCAGGATAATAAAAGCATGTGTAGAAATGGAAAAATATGCCAAGGGATATGACCCAACATGCATCGGTGAATTCAAACAATACTACTTATTATTTCCTCACTTGACTGGTCGTGTTCATGCACGGTGGTATTGTTTGATAATAAATAAACAAATAGGAGTGGGTTTCGGTTCGGTGATTTAAAACCCGCGCTTTCTTCAATAGAAACCCTTAGGCCTATTTCGTGGGATGGACTGTGTACAAACATAAGGATAACAAAAGAAAAATGCTGAAATTGAAATTTCATTAAATACATTTCGATGGAACGTTGAATATCAGTACGCATGCAACAATTGAATTACAAGCTAAGATGTAAGAAACGTTGAAAAGAGAGCATACATGAATATTGCTGTCGTTGTTCAATGATTTTGTCATTTAGCAGTTCAAGCATGGTCATCAAAAGAATGGACTTTTAAGACCAATACAAAACAGGGATGTTAGCGCTAGTGCAACTATTGCTGGATAGTTTTTGCATGTCATTTATATGAAATGTCATAACTGTACCTCCAAGTCTGAAAATTTCCTGTTTCGTGTATCATAAATGATTTAACAATGTTGACCATGACAGAAAAATCAACTGAACTGTATGTTAAACAAATAGTTAACTTAAAGAAATCTTTCATTGCCGTATCAATTTTAATTAATTAACTCTGTTTAATTTTTAATTTAGTTTGGAAATGTAAATTCTATTAAAAACCTAATGTTTAAGGTGTTCACTTTTGCTGTTCTATATTGATGTAACAGTTACCTATAATTTTCAGTATTTGGCAAAGGTAAACTTTAAGTTATCAAGTTAAGTTATTAATTATTTTCATGTGTAGAAATGAATGTAACGTTAGAAATAATTGCGAAAAAAGGGTACTTAGGCCTATACAGGTTCAATCGAATTGTCGCCTCATA